CCAGAGCAGTATTAGAAATTAAATTAAAACAAAACCTAGAAAAAATAATTTTTATTTCATCCCAGAAAAATGACCAACCATTTCTGTTCAAATTTGCATTTTTGGTACTAAACATGCTCTGTGACTGCCGCAAATATCTGCTTTACTGAAAATTTGTTCAGATAGCATATTTATTATAGGGTTTGTGAAAAATTTTTTAAAGCTGTCTTACCAATTGATAGAAAGCCAGCCTTTTCATGCCAGCAACTGAATAGACTATCCAATAATTTAAAAGCTGGATTATTTACGAAGGCAGCTAGTTCACCACGCAGTGCACAGTTTTCGCCACTCACGTATGTGAAGACTGAATCAAAATCTCGTGCTGTGCCGTTTTTCGCTTTTTTAAAGGCGAAGAAATATTTTCGGTAGTTTAGTTCTGATATTCGAATCTTTAAAACGAAACATGCAAAACATGACATGCAAAAATTCGTGAAGTAAATTCGTGTGGTAATTATAAAATAAACTTCATTTCCACAGCAACGAGTCGTTTTCTTATTATCCATTGTGGGTTATATTGAATGACTTTAATAGAACATACAAGGTAGTAGAACTTTAAGTGCTCATATGACGCGTAATTTTTTCAAAAATTTGTGCCGAAAATTTGAAAACATCTGGCATTCTGGAATTTCACACAGAATAAAACGTGTTCAACGAAGAAAATCTTTGTAAGGTGTAATAATATCTACCCGCTAACTCAGTGTAACTTGGGTGCAGTGGAAAATCTGAGTGGTCTTTGGTGATTTTTTATCAAATAGTCGAATGATTACTTGAGAAAACTTCCATCCTACTATTCATGAAGCGGATTTGATCAGAGATGATAATGCTCTTTATATAACGAAAATTTCAGGCTCTTGTACGAGATATGAATGCAGGATAATTGCCAAATCGGCATTTATTTCGGTGTTATTTCTTTCCAGTATTGATAATTTGAAACTTGTCAATAAAATATAGATATTTACAAGAAAAGGCTTAAAGCCCCGGCACCAAACGAAATTAAAACTAGGATTCAGCAAGAAGAAAAGGATATTTTTTATTTAGTGCATAAGCTCACATGTAGGCACCGCCAAGTCTCCCGCATTATCTGGACTTGATTTTTAACGGCACATCCAATCTTGGCGAACCCGCGCAATACATCGTTCAACTACCCTCGTTCCCCCTCGAAAAACCTCAAAATTTGGATCGCAGAATTTATTTATTTGTAGCTTAAACTCTACAATAAATCACCATCTAAAATTTTACTCTCACTTTATCTAGTTTTGCGGATAAATTATTTGTAAAACAATAATTGGATCTTAGCCTTAGGCAATACTTTCATTATCCTATCGACTTCTTTTCACTGCATCCATTAATCGCATATACCAAGGCCATGGCCTAGGCTTTGCCTGACAATCTCAATAAGCAATGAATATTGTCTACACACGATATTCAAATGACTTGCTCACCTAAACAGTTGTAACGGATCATTTCCAATACTTGTAGCACAATATTTTTTAGTAGAATTTGGTGCCAGGCCAGTGTTTAGTTAATTTTCTCCTATTAAATACTAAAAAAAATTCAATTTATCGAGAGAATTTTATCGATTTGATGCCATTTTCATTGATTAATTAGTTATCATTGATTTTAAAAAAAAGCAATTTTGTGGAATTTCTTTTGTTTTTAGAATAAATTTGCAAATAATCATTTTTATTATTTTTTGAATTTCGCAATTTTTTTTCAATTTCAATTTTTCAATTTGATTAATTAATTGTGAGAAACGTTTTTCATGAATAATTGCTCAATTGGGAGCGCCGATATTCAGGTCCGATTCCCCGCAGGAGCAAACCTGTACAAAAATCCGGGTGATGCTGGCGACTCACATGTACTTCTATCGCCAAGGTACTCCCTGGCATATTTGTCCAGTGCGATAAGCCAGTGGAGCGAGTCCTATGTGCTTGACATTCCTATTTGGGTGCTTGCTGAGAGAATCTCGTGGGAATATAGTAAAAGGTGCATCGTCGCACCTTACTAAACCCTTTTCAGGCGCTCGAACGTGCGGTGCTAAATCGCAGAAAGCATCCCACTGCCGTAGTTTAAATAATTAATTGATTAGAAATTCTAAGCAACGTTTTTAAAGGCATTGATCTTCTCATTTTTCTGCATAAATTTTTTTCAGAAACATTTTAACTGTATTTATTTCAAATATTTTTTCTTAAAAATATTTAAAAAATAATTAAAAAAATAAATAAATCGACTTCTCAAATCAGAATCTGACATGAAATATATTAAATTTTTCCTCTTTGTACTCACCATTTGAATTTGATTAATCGCAGTGGCCGTTAAGGTGAAACCCTTTTGAAGTCATTGATGAATATTGATAGGTCGCCACTGCTTCACGAATTTTCCTAATAACAGGTTTGCTGTCGTCACGGGGGAGGAATGGAACCTACGATGCTGGAATTTTGTGCTGGGGCTTGAAGAGGACATGCTCACACAATTCCTGATTTGGCTACTTTTACAGGATAATCAGATGAGGCTTCTTTGTCAAGAAGTTACTTGTGGTCAGAGGTAGAGAATTCCACTTTTGTGACAGATTTAGTACCATCAAAAGGCAGTAGTCGAATATGGCTTGTAGAAGCAGCATACAACCCGTCTATCGTCTATCTATCTAACTTTTATTCTTGTATATCTACGCTTTTACCCGCATTTTTCTCCACTTATAATTTTTTCGTTATTCGTCTAGAATCTATAATCTTATTGTCTCCTTTCAGTTTTCACCTATGTATCATTTTCCATGGTTCAATACTAATCGTTCATCAATTAACGAAAGCTGCTGCCAAGATAAGCGAATCTATTCACATCGTTCTTTCTGCAGTAAAGACATCTTGAAAGGCCTTCATATCATCAGTTCTCTCTCTACCTTAGCGTTACTAATAAATAGGCAAATACTGTTCATTCCTTTCGTTCGTTGCAAATTTTCATTACACGAATTGATTCCTTCAACTGGTAAATAAATTTTCTGTTAAAATAGGCTAAAAAGGTGCGAAATTCTGCCAAGCTACTGCGCCACCTCGGACAAATCCCCTACCGCAAGTTCAGTCCACATGTACCTTTCTTTTGAGTTTTGGCTATTGAGAGTAATTATGTACAAATTGAAACTTTATTTTTTTCTTTGTTTTTTTCGTAATTTTCTTTTCCTTATCTATACAAATTCGCAAATATTTCGCGCAATTGATTATTTCTCTTGTGATATTCTCTTATTTTATTATTTTTATTTTATGCAAAAATTCGCACAAAGTTTAATTTGATTCTCAAAACGAAAATCTGCGACAAGTAACGGCGAAGAATAAATATTGAGCGGACGCAATTTACAAATTTTATTTACAATAATTGAGAAATGGAAAAAGTATTTTTCCATTTAATTTATAGGATTGTGCGAATTGTTTTAAATTCGGCGAGGGAATTCTTTTTTTTTATTTAAAAAATCGAATTTCTTCGTGGAAAAATGAGTGAAATTGAACGAAAAAGTTTCTTCGCTCATGCATGTTAGTTTTTTTTTTAAAAATTCGTTATTTTTATCTTTATGAATTTTTTAAAGTTGAATAAAGTGCAGAAAAAATACTTTTTTTCTGCGTCTCATGGATAGGAAAGAGTAAAAAGCGCGAAATTCAAATTCCTTAATATTTTCTTGTTGTTTATCTTAATTAATGGATTATAGGGTGGAGGAGGAGGGTGGGGAATATTTAGTTTCCCTTCTAAGGAATTTGTAGTTTAATGACAAGGTGGTTGCTATCGCGAATCAAAAATGGCTTCGAACCCGGTCGATGTTTCGTCGAGTGGCAATGTCACCAAAGGGCGAAGGCAAAAGGGGGTGGAATAGCTCAGTGGGGTTGTGATTAGTTTGGGTCGCCCAAGGTTCCACGTCTGGAGCAAATCTGGCTTTCAAAAATTCGGATGATATTGTCGACCTACGTGTATTTCTTTCACGAATTGACTCCCTGGCAAGGTTTGTTTACTCTGACAAATCAGCGAGAGGGCAGCGGTGAGCGTTTAAAAAAAAAAATATTGCAGTTTGAGAGAATAAAGGTTATCAATATTGCCATAAAATAGAACTGTACTTTTAATGTTGATAGATATCAGTAACCGCATTTAAGACATGGAGAAAATCCGTGTTTTAGTTTATCATGTTGAGTTCTGATTTTTATTTGTTTGGATGATCAGCCGCTGAAATAAAAATTAATTTATAAGCGACAAATAACACTGGTCTTTTTATGTGGGATTCTTTTTTTTTACATGCTTTGGCTTAAATTAGGGCTTTTTAAATTGAATCATAATGGATAGTGGGATTTTTATAGTTGATTTTTTTGATATTTTGATTTTTTTAAAAAGCTTTTAATATTTTTTATTATTTAAAAGTATTTTTTAAAAATATTTTAATAGTCTTCTTATTTCTTATCAAAGACATTTTTAATCTACTTCTTTAAATAAAAAATCTAGTTTTTTAGCGGCTCGAGATCCAGGAAAGCGGCAGGTAAAGCCGAAACGTGATATTTTCGACTTGGCTGGAATTGATGATAGCGACGATGAAGATATCGATTTCATTGGTTTCTTTTTTTCAAGTATTCGGAGAATTTCAGTTAAATAAGTAGACACAAGTTAATAGGCATACTATTACCGACTTTTATATTATGTGGTTAGCGAGGATTTTTTTAAAGATGAAGGTTGAACGATAGATTTTGTGTGATTTTTTAAAGTTATAATTTGTTTATGAACTGTAAATTTTGCCGATGGCTTTGCGCAGTTTTTGGCTGATATCTGCGTAAACTGTATATTGCAATAAGTTGTTTAGAAAGGGGATTTGTAATTTGAATCACTGGTTTTGAATCAGACAAGATTTTTTTTTCTTTTCTTTTATTGCAGTAACTTCTTTTCTTCCTAGAATTTACGAAATGTGGCATGCCATTTTTTTGGATGAATTAAATTGATCTTTTTCACTTAATGAATTCTGTAAACTTTCCTTTGTTGTTGTAAAATTCTGTTTATTGCTGAAATTTCATTGGAAAATAACAATTTAATGTTTGTTTTCTTTTAATAAAGGGAACAACCAGGGTCTTGAATCAGAGCAAGATTCTAGTTCATCAGAGGATGATATTTATTTACATTCTGATAACAGTGATAGCAATATATCAATTGATCAGTCACAGTCCACTGCTGGTCAGGAAGAGGTAAGTTTATATATTTTAAAATAGAAATGTTCAAGTATTATGTAACGAAAAAACTAAAAAAAAAGTCCAAGAAGAATTTTATGCTATATAATATTGTAAAGAAAATTGCAACTATGAATTCAATTTTTTTGTTTCAGAATCATCCTTTATGTTCACTTTGCCTAAACATGCGCACTTCTGTAATCAACGATGAACTTATTCAGTGCGACAGGTAATTTTTCAAAATCCAGAAAGTTTTATTGAATATTTGGTGATCTAACAGTTAAAACGAATTTTCTGATTTTTCTTTCAATAGTTTCATCTTTCAAATAAAAAATTGGTAAATTTGCTATATTTTCTCCACAGTCCTTAAAAATGCTTTTTATTTCTCTTCTTATTCACTATATAAATTATGTTCATCCTTTCAGATGTGGTCTTATAGTACATGAAAACTGCTATGTTACTGATAATTTTGAAGACTGTGCTAGCAGTCATTCAAGTTCATCAACAGAGCCATGGTTTTGTGAACCATGCCTTTATGGTCTCAAAGAACCGCCCTTTTGTGAGTTGTGTCCTAGTCGATATGGGGCTTTCAAAAAATCTGGTCTGTTGTCTTAATTAATTAAATTAATTGCAGTAATATTTTGAATCATTAAAATTCATTCTTGTTCAAGGATTAAGAAGTCTAGATTTAGGTTCCTTTAATTCGTTATTTTTAGATATCGGAGGTGGTTGGGTACATCTGTTGTGTGCCTTGTATACACCTGATATTACGTTTGGTGAAGTAAATTCTTTAACTGCTGTTAGTTGGCAAGAGATGGATTATAGGTTATTCGGGAAAAGGGTAAACCTTTATTTCTTTTTTCAGAAATTCCGGAAACACATCATCATTTGTTATCCTTGTCTTTTGCATTTTTCTGAATTGCCTTTCCTAATATTCGATTTTATTTCTTCCTTTCAATTTACTTTTCAAGAGAAAGATTGAATTAATATTACCCAGACATGTGTGGCATGTACCGATCCCGTTATGGCTCGCATAGGTGTTGCAGTAGCTTGCGAAGCAGCCCTTTGTAAAAATTATCTCCATGTTACGTGTGCCCAAAGGTATTTTTTTCATTTCATTTTAATTATTGTTCAGCTTGATAGCGAATCTGATTTTAATATTATATTCGAAGACTAGAAGGAATTCATTACTCTGAAAATTTTGATCAATTTTACACTAGTATATAATGATTTATTCCTTTTTTTTAGCTCCATATTAAAGTATTAAAGTCTCTTTCCCAACGGAAAGTCGGCATTGTTTCAGGCTTGGTTTACTCGTTGATAATTGGGAAAACTCACAGCAAAACACTAAAAATGGAAATGATGCGGAAATGGTTGATCCACATTTTCTTACATGCAGAAAACATTCTGTTGAAGAAATCGCTCGACAAAAAAGAGCAGCGTAAATTTTTTTTATTTATTTGTATTTTTTCCTTATTTTTTTGATTTTGAATGCAAAATGAGGTTGCATTCAAAATCGCATAGAATTAATACTACGATTAATACATAAATGCATCAATAAATCGTTTTGTCAGTAAATTGCCCATTCTGTCATTTTTCAGTAAAATGATTGTTTTAGATGCTTATTATTTTACAAATCTGAGGAAGCTCGAATGGTCAGTTTCAGAAAACGCACGTTGGGATTCCGAGAGGAAAAAAAAAGGTGAAGTTAGCTATATCTTTACGTATATATGTAAATATTTTTTAATAGTGATATGTTTGATGCACTATGATATTTTATACATTTATGAATTATACTTTTTAAATGTAATGATATCTAGATGATCTTTTTGCAGACTCCGAATGTTGGAAAGGCATAAAAAGGCCTTGAAAAAGCTTGAAGGGGTTACAATTGTGTGGCCAGAGGTTTTAAATTTGCCGTTTTCTTGGGAATTGCAATTTTCTTTATAGAGATTGTTCATCATCGCTTGATCATTTTTTTTGCTGATAATCGGAAAATTAAATTTTTTTTATAAGCGTGAAACCAAAGATAAAATATGAACATATATGAAAATCTTGGAGAATCTGGATTGTTTTGCAGCATGATTATAAGCGAACTCGACTTATGCATACAAGTTCAAAATTTTCTGAATTGTTCTGTAACAAAGCTGAATCCATCGGGATCGGTCGGAAGAAGTTCATGGATAGTTTTTCTCAACTCAGAGAAGAAAATTTTTCATTCATGCCGCCGGGCTTTTCGACCGAGTTTATTAGGTTTTTCACTTGAATATTTGTGATACTTATTGGTTAGTGAGTTTATATTAGGGTGTTCAATCTTTTTTTTCTAATATCTCTCATACAATGGCTAAAAGGGTAAGGGGTCTTCAAGCCATTCGACTTGATGCTGCACCTAACAGGAGCCATTCTTTCATTTCTCTATCTTCTAAATTCCTATGTCGTATACTATACCATCTGTACTTTTAAAATCTCTTACTTCTGTTTGTTTCCTCTTCTCTCTTATTATGATTCATTTTTCTTGGCTCTCACTATTTTATTTTGATGTGGATTAGGTAATTGATATTTTGCAAATTCGATCTGGCAACACTCGGATTTTTTAATATCTGATTGTATTAATTTACCTTTAAAATTTCTCTTTACTAAATTTTTCTTGAAAATATTCGCATTTTTTAATTTTTTTTATTATTTTTACAGTTATTTCAAATTACGAGAAGAAAAGATTCTTCCATTTGAATCAAAAAAAGTGGAGGAGCTGGAATTTCTCAATAAGCAGTTGCGTGATAAGCAGCATCGTTTAGAAATGGAATTGGATAAGGTCTCACTTGCTTTTTTTCATCCATTTTCAAGATATTTTTAGATTTTTCCGGTATTGTCTTATTGTTTGGTTTAATTTTAAAATATAAATCGTTTATTTTTTTCTCAGCAAATAAATTTTCATAGATTAAAAGCGGCATGCAGATGGAGAAAGATGCGAAAACAATATATAATTGGTTTGATACTTTGTGCTCAGTGGGCTTGAAGAAAATCAAACGGCCTGATTTTTCCAGAAAGATGACTTCCAGGTATTGGTTTTTTTGAAGAAGGGCGAAATAGAATTTAACTTTTCAAAAAAATTTTAAAAAGTTTCAATTCAATTTTTTTATTGTTATTGTTTTTGTTGGTATTATTTGCTTCACAATTTAGCGTTCTAACATAAAATTTGCTTTTCCTATATTTGGTGCAGTTAGATTGATCTGGTTATTGATTAAAATCTCCATAATTTGCTTGAATATGTTTCCAGGGTAAACTTTCAAATGTTGCGTTTTTCACAGTTTGTCTTCACGGGCTGCACATTCTTATAGGAAGAAAACTCATACCATCTGACTAAAGCAAGGTAGCCCTGCTTCCAAAAGTAGGTGGTAAGAGAAACTGTGGAAGTTCTGAGGATCAGCGTACTGCGTATATCTAGAATATCTAGAAATTTTTTTGCCTTGTGCTCCATAGACATATGACAGCATAAGGAAACGAGACACGCATTCGTCAAGTTAAACTCTTGAGGCTCGAATTTGATGAGGAAATGAATATTCATGCAAAGGACATGTTAGAACATGTCGGCTTATCAGCAACGTCATTTATTTTACTGATTTTAGCGTTTTTGCCGTTGCCTTTGATTTATTTGATATATCCACTTTTCTAGACGGTTGTTTAGCACGACAAGCTTCTAGAAAAGATCATTCAACTTGTTAGGGCACTTTACTGGCGTAATTCACATATTCTTCTCGAAGAAGAGCTGTTGAACATTTCAAATGTATGTTCTCCCTTTACAGTAGTATCTTTAGTATATTCAACCGTACTATGCACTGGAATGGATATACCTTTCCTCAAAAGGTGTGAAATCAGTTTGCAGCATATTAGAACGGAAGTTCGTGTCCATTTTTCTCATCGCATTGCTTAGTCATTTTATATTTGACTTGGTCACACTCGGTCAAAAACTGTAGATATCAAGATTTTTTTTCTTCTTTTTTTTCGCTCGTATCTATCTTTGCTAGAATAATATCTGTATTATGTCGTCATAAAGCGTTATTTATTCTGGTTAGACCATGTTTTTGGCTGCTTATCGCAGTAAATAATGCACATCTCTCTAAATATTGAATCTTCTGGTGGTTAGCTTCAAAAACAAGGTCTGATGTAGATGTGCGTTGGTATGGTTAGAGATTTTGAGCACACAGATGGTACAACACAATTTGTTGTGGCATAAACGATGTGCAAAGGAGTAGGAAGAGGAAAAGTAGTTTTTTTTACTTTATTTTTTTTATTTCGACAGCTACAGTTTCAGATATGGTATTGGGTTAGGAGCTTTTGCATACGTCGTATCCTTTTAGCCAGTGGGTCTAATCAGCATTCGTATGATTGTCGAAAAAGAAATTTAAGAAAAAATACATTAATCTTCGACCAAAATGCAAAATTCAGAATGGAGGTTTAAATTGTAGCTGACGGATATATAATCGTGATGCGGATTTTTTCAGTGTAATAATATAATATAATGTTAAAACGTAAAACCATTAATAATAATAAAGAAAATTGTTGGGGAACGGTTGAATTGATTAGAGAATTGGTTGGATTAGAGAAATTTGCCACAATTATTGATTTAAAATAAATTGGAGAAAATAAATTGGTTCTAAAGCGATAACTTAAGGGTCTTTTTACGTGCAAACATTGAAAATGAAAATAATTTATCGGACTTGTTAATTTATTTGAGATTATTTAATTTTTATAGATAGATTCGAGGCAAGGCCCACAGCAGTTCGAAAAAACATCTTTTTATCGAAAATTTTTATGATTTAGGAAATGTGCGCAGAAGAGATCCTATGGTTCATCGCCTTGTTCTTCAACTGTTATCAATAAACCGTGCGTGATAGATAAATCCAGTTTAAAACTGAGCAAACTTGCTGAAAGAGTATCGGAGAATGCTGCTATTGCTATATATACTTGTGACACATGTAAAAAGGTAATTTTTCATTTGCATAGTTTTTGATTCTGATGGGATCCGAATTTACTTCACAATTTTTTTAATTTTTGAATCAGTTGAAAATTTGAAAGAAGAAAGTTTTTGAGTGTATTTGGCAAAATGTCGCTGATGGTTCAGTTATTTCGTCTCATTTTTTATGCTGCTGTATCTAATGCATTGGTTATAAGTTATTAATTAATTACCTTTCTTTAAAATTTTATTTAGTTGAATTTTTGATGCTTTTTTCAATTGTCATTCCAGTCAACAAATCAGCATTTTTTAATAATGTGTGATACGTGTAAAAAGCATTATCATTTGGATTGTCTCGATCCTCCGTTGGCTAAAATGCCGAAAAAGACGGCAAAATTTGGGTGGGAATGTTCCCATTGTCATAATTCCAGTGATTCTGATGAGCAAGGCAGTGAACTGCTGGTAAGAGATATATTTCTACACTTTTAATGCAAAAAACGCTTTCATTAAAAGTGATACTAGTTGTATCTATATTTAAAAATGATCTTATTTATTTGATCTCATTTTTTGGAAGCTTTTATGGACATATATACATGTTTCAGGTAGACATTTCATCGAATTCATCTCGAAAATTAAGAGATCGATCAACACTGATTTTTCTAAGGAAAGAAGAAGAAAAGGTGTGCTAAAAATGGCTGAATAGATCTGATTCTTTTCTGATCAATTCATTTATGTATTTTTCATTTCGTTTTTATGGATTTTTTAGGCACAAAATAAGGCATTTCGAGCTGCTGTGCGCGGATTTCGTTTGCCTTGGAAAGGCAAGAAAAAATTAAAAAGCGAAAATGCTCAAGTACGAATTTTTCATTTTGTCTGTGGTGATATCAATCTCTTAAGGATCTTTTTTTTCAAGTTTTTTTCAAGTTTTTTTTTTATTTTTTGAGAATCACCTTCTTTTCATTCATTCATTCATTCAAACAACATTTATTCTTAATTGAGATATCAGTTCCTTTCGCATGGCATTCTTATCGCTTTTTGAATTTTGATGATTTTCAATTAATATATTATTTTAATATAGAGGTATTTAATATAGTGACCTTTTGTATCAAAAAGATTCATTTCTATAAATTTCCTAATTTCTCAAAATTTTTAAGAAATTCAAGAACAATTTGTTTCGGGATTATGCAGATTTTTTGCTTTTCCGGGACAATTGATAATGGTTGTAAGGCGATCTCATAGTAATCGTTTATTGCTTTTTTTCTAAGAGCGCTTGTCAGTTAGACTATCTTCATTCAGTAGAATTACAGATGAATTGCTAGTATTGCTTGAATTTTTAAAAAATTGGTTTATTCCTGCAGGAAGTAGAATCGCAGCATTGGGGCTTTTAAATGAGAGCAAAAAAACCACTGAAGTAAACCCACTAAGATGTTCCATTCCTTAAACTTTATCTTACATCCCATTATTTCTATTTTTTTTCGTGAGAATTTCATACTAAAGGATCTGAAAATTTATTCAGTCACTTTATAATAAATTAATACGTAGAACCTTAGTTCAAAAGTTGTTTTCTTTTCATTTCTATGCGTTGCAGATAAATCTTGTAAATGAGGAGCTGCCAAAGGCCTTTGTGGTTTCGTCAAATTCCAAAACATTGGAGTACGGTACTGATTCATCTTCCCGATTTAAGAGTAGGGCACATCTCGAATTATCATCTAATTTTTTGTCTGGCTCAAGTGATATATCAAACGTAAGCACAATGTTTCTTTTTCCGTTTTATCGTTTTTTTAGGAAGTCTTGAAATTTTTTCTGGAAGGTTTTGTTAAAATTCTTTAATTTCAGCAGCCTGTGCGGAGGAATGGTAATATTCGAAGAAAGGTTAATATTCTTCGAAAAGTTTCAGCAGTTGAAAAACAGTCGATAAAATTGCAAAATTCGATCATCCTAACCTCGGCTAATGGTGTTATTGCTCAAAATAATGATGTTGTATAATATACCTCTAGGAATTTCGGCACATATGACCTTTCCTTGAAAAAAACGGCATCCTTCAGTTAGAATGATTCTTATATTCATTTTCGATTCCTATACTTTGATGGGAAATTATTGAAAACGAAGTCTAGTTGGCGCTTCTCCACTTGAGCTTTTATTTTCAAATGGCCCGGAGAATAACTCATCATAATGGTGAGCGTAGCTAGCCAAATCAAAAATGATGAGACATGGTGTAAAGTGGGTAATCATACTTCAGTTTTAAATGATTTTTAAATTTATTTCTAATCTATATTTTTGAAAAATTTATATTTTTGTGAACGAAAGTGGAAGATATTAATAATCATTGTTACGAAAGCAGAGCATTTTTTACCTTAAGAAAATTGTTTTTTCTAACACATTGAAATCTAAGGTTGTTTTTTCCAGTACGTCGAAATTTAATCAATGGGATTAAAAAATAAGTTGCTTGAGGGTGTGTTATGTTTTATCGTATTTTTTTTGATTGTGAACTTCAAATCTCATTGTAAATTTCAGTTGTAATTTTTATTACAGTTTTTATGTCGATTTTTTTGTCGTTTTCATAGTGGCACTGTATTTTATTATAATTTTAACAATTGGCGAGAATCATTCCTTCCGTTTATTATTCGTTGATTATGTCTCCTATTTTATGAAATATTTTCGAGATGTTTACCCTTCGTGAGTTATACAAAAGTACGTTATATATCACCCGAGGACGTTGCTGGGTCATTTTGATTCTTTATTTTTACTATCCGAAATTTCTCATATTTTTATTGTAAATTGTTTTTTAATTATTTAAGTCTGAATATATTTTTAAATATATTTTAAAATAATTTGGTTTGCTTGTCTCTTTTGTTTTTTACGTGACTTGATTGTGATTATCATTTTATTATTTTTGCGTTTATTGAGATTATTGTTCTGAAGCATTTAAATGTTTCGGTTTTTAATATGAATTTTTTTATCTGCCAGTAAATGGTTGAATTTAATGACATTTATGTTTGGAAATTTGAATACCATTGCTTGTGGATCGCTTGAGTTGATTTCATTGTTACAGTTGCCGATACTTTACATAAAAGGATTGTTTCGTATGAAAACCCTTGTTTCATAAAATATTACTTTACATAATATATTCATAAGCATATATTTGATTATTATATTATTGGAATCTAAAATTATTAAATGTTTCGTTGTATATTTATTATTTCGTTAAAACATTATTTATATTTCAGCAGTTTTGAGTTCTTATTTAGATTATTTATCATAAATGGTGTCGAAATTCAACCGATTGGAAATATTTTAATGAATTCAAAAGTTGATCGATTTGCGTTAATTCTTTATAAAAGAATTCTGAGGTGGGGATTTTTTTTGCATTGGTTTTCTTTAATTAATTCTTAGCGGCTTATTTTTAGGCTGCATTATGGTCTTCCTCAAGATGTACGAATAATAGGAGATGAATATATTAGAGAAGAGTTTCGTCGTCACAAAAATGCTAACAGGGAACAAGTGCTTACATTCCTGAAAGAGTGGACGGTATTTATTATTTGAGATCTATGAAGTGTGTTGTTCAGATAAATTTCGAATACCAATTACTTTTGGAACAATGTGAGTGTGCGAGAGTTTTAATGTTTTTTTCTTTTTTTGGTTATTTGTTTCAGAGCTATTGTGTTCTTTTATCGAAACAATTGTCGCAACATGGCCTTGTCAAGGGAACTATTGGCAAAAGTCTTGAGCCATCTTCGCTCGACGATTTTTCTAATGAACAGCTTCAACAGTTGCTTGCTTTAAAGATTGAAACAGCAAAGCAAAAAGTGTGATTCGATAACATTTGATTATATTAGCACTTAAATATAAAATCGAAAGAACAGTTGAAAATTTAGATTAAATAATGATTATTTACTTAGGCGGAGTAAATAATGGCAATGGAAATAGCTTAGGAAATCTTCAAATTAAATCGCATATTTATTTTTTAGCATTTTTTAATTTTATTTTTATTATATTGTATTTTATTATTTTTATTACATTATTGAATCTTTCATTTTCTTTATTTTAACAAACTTTGAATCATTTTCGTCATATTTCCTTTTTTTATAGTCTTGAACTTGTAATGAAGAGTTTAGTGCGATGAAGATTTTAAAAGCGTTTTAGAGATTTAGAGATTCTTAGAGAATCTTTACAGTAAGGAATTGTGGATTTTTTTGAATAATTAAACTTTTTGCCACATATACTTGAAATAATTTAAATTTTAAATTGAAAAATTATTCAACTCCAAGGAAAATAAAATAATCATATTAAATCATATTATAATCATAATAATCATATCTTGTTTTTCAATGGAGTGAATTAAAAGTTTTAAAATTTTTATTAATGTCGTTCAGTCATCTAGTGAATTCATATTGAAGATAACCCATACGTTAAGGAAAAAGAAATCAAATTATAGGGACAGATTAATATCAAAAATAAATAATGAAGAAATGACACTCCTTAATGAACCTAAGAAAAGATTGAGAAAAAATAAAGCAGGAAATGGAAAGACGAATAAAAATGAAACTTTTAGATCAGATATGGATCTTTTCCGCAGGATCCTTGAATCTATGTATAGCATGTTTATAATTATTGCATAAAAGGACCATGAGGCTTTAAATTAAAGAGAGCATAAACCGAAGGTTGCTTGTCCAGTCACCTATATTTACCGAACACAAAGAAAAAGACATAGACATCATTGTATTAACATAAAATATTAGAAATAAGAAATGCATTACGTAATTACACGGTAATCCGGCATAGTTAGTTATTAGATGGCGTTTCTTCCATATTTTTTGTTCTTGCCGGTTGTACTAAAGGTGGCTTTTTAATCTGTATAGGTCTTGCTCATCATGTATAATATGGCTGTTGATAAAAGAAGAAATCTTGGAACGTTATCAATACACATTCTTAAATGCAAAAAGGAGTGAATACATGGACATATATGTTCGTCAAAGATCGGAAGAAAATCGAGGCATTATTTGGTAGATAATGGATTATGGAGCGGAAGTGATCTGCAAGACCAATGTGATAGCATATAACTGATAGCTACTGAAATGAACTGTCTATTGATGCAGTTTTCGAACCACTGATCTAATTTCAAAAATGAATCATCAATTATTCATGAAATTACTTAGTAAAAAACGTTCTCAGTCCATCGTGGCTAATGTAGTAATTTCGATTTTTTCATATGTATTGTGTCAATATTTTACCTTTTATTAATGGCGCTTGGCTATTGTCCTATTGACCTTTTTTCTAAATAAATATTGCCAGTAATTTCAATAATAATAAATGTTTACCAGAAATAATACTTGAGGAATTTGAAGTTTGGATAAAAGTAGAATACTGGGTTAACCTCGTAACCTTGCCACTTAAATATTTTCAGAGTATTTGGGGAATTTCGTGAACATATCCACGAATGTTAATTGCTCAAAAAGTTTCGTTTTTTTTACCATTCACCATAACCAAGTGGTTTTTCCTTCCTATCATTTCGAGCATCACAGTCCGGTCCTCGCTCCTTCCAGGAGGTCCGGTTAGCACTGGGTCTGGTATGTCCTCCTAGTGACTCATTGTCTCCGAACAGAATCTATTACAATACGCACATAAATCAGAACCACAAATATTCTGAACCTCTCGAAATCTTCGGAGTGCAGTCCTCGTTGAATATTTCAGCGAATCATCTAGCTATTCGCATAAGAGTTTCTTTTTCATCCTATTAGTGGAACCAGTGGAGCGAGTCTACCAGAACAGTCCGATGTGCCTATAGGGAACGCATTCTTCGATTTGTCGAAGAGCATTTTTTATTATTATTAATACATGCTTCCGGCATCGTAGAGAACATTTAATCATATGGGGCTCCCCAAGATCTTTCAAACTATCTCAAACTAAAAGATTTGGAGACAGAGATCGTATTTCAAACCGAATTACTAAAACCTCAATAGTATAAATATCAACGACTTTTCTGGAACCGCAGATGAAAACTGGTCCCAACTAAAAAAATATCTCAAAAAACAGCCATTTCCACAGTAAAACATACTAGTATGAAGTGCGCAGGTTGAGTATCGGAGGCAACTGTCCAGCTGTCTGAAAACGTTACCAAAGCATGAATGCCAGGAGACCCCGACTACCGGATGCTTCGAACAATTGCAACGACAGTAGCACGGCAGAACGGAAATGGCTACTGGAGCGAGATAACCTTGGGAATGGAGATGGTGGCTAGATTAAGCGATAACAGGAAAATATTCTGCCTCCCATATAAAGCGACTATAATTCAAGGAACGGTCAGTGAAATGGTACAGGACAGCAATGGTGTGTCTGTTAAGAGCATCATGGATCGCTTTGTGAGATGGATTTCTAGATAAGACGATAGACTAAACAGATAAGACGAATTCTTTGAGGCTAAATTTAACCACGATGCATCCCGGCCCGATCATAACTGATTTGCTGGTCAAACTATACATATGCAACTGCGAACCACGAATAGAAGAGGAAATAATCTCCATCATAAATTTAAGGACAATAAAACTCCCGAAGAAGATGGTCTGGTGATCAAATGCTCTTCAAATACTATCCGTCTTTCAACAAATATACTCTCTGTATGGAAGAAAAAAAATACTACCAGACAACTGGAGCAAAGTAACTCTCCCAATTTCCAAGAAAAGTATTGCGACAATTATCAAAGGCCTTACTAGACATCCCGGAAATTTTTGCTCTCCTTCTACTCAGTAGACTTGTAGCACTACGGGACATCAGGATGAGCCCTAATGAAACTGGATTTAGACCGGGATTTAGACGCAGTTGTGCTTACCAGATGTTCACGTTAAGAAGGGTATTAGATCATCGCTTCAAATATCTGTAACCCATCGTTACGTGTGTAATCGACTTCGCAGCTGCCCTTCGATTCAGCTGATATAACGAAGCTTTGGAAGATGACAGAACACGACAGTGTTCCAGAAAACATCAATCGACTCATAAAGGCATTTTATCTACATCGGGGCAGGTCCATATATATGGAAAACTGAGAGACTATTCGAAATAAGAACTAGTGTCAAGGCTGTATTCTTTCCTCTACAATATTCAATTGTGATGGACTGGATAATGGATACTGCTTGTCGGCATGCAAGAGGTGTACAGATCGGTCCAAAGCATTGTATCACAGATCTTGAATAAGCTGATGATGTAGTCCTTTTTTCTAATAGTTGTGATAAAATGCAAATAATGCTAAACAAACTTGTTAACAATTGCAAGGAGAATGTGACTCAGATCCAGTGTAAATAAAACGAAAGTTTTCGTCTTATATTGAAGAAACTGATACCTATAAATACCTAAAATACCTATAAATTCGTTGATAGTTGGGGAAGTGCCGGGTTTTAAATACCCCTTGGATCCACTCTAATGCCGAATAGCCAAGCAAAGGATGAAATTACATTGCGAATAACGTCAGCCAGAAATGCGTACTTCCTGTTGACGAAACCATTATGGAGCTATCACTATAAAAACGAAAATCCTCGTCTATGTAGCTGATTCGGTCGATCTTGCTATGCGAGGCGTAGCTGATAAGATTGAAGGATATTAAGAAGCTATCTGCCTTTGATCATTCATGTCTAAGATACATTTTACAGGTTCGCTGAGCGGATAAAATTTCACATGAATGAATCATTTCACAAGTACCACTTGCATTGATAGTACCATCACAAAGCGTTGCCGGTTAGGACACGATCATCGTCAATCACCACAAATTTGACATATATTTTGTCACTTGCTAAACCCTGTGATGTGTGATGTCAAAAGCGTGGTGGATAAATCAAGACTTCGACTGATACAATCAGGAAAGTTTTTGAATGTAGGCTGGACCAGCAGTATACGGACTTAGACAATGGAAAAAGGAATGGCTTCTATTATTGTCAGCGATAGCACCAGATCGTGCAGCTTGGAAACATCTTATCCTTGAAGCCATCGTAGTTTGTGGTAAAAAAAAAGACCATTTACTACCACTTTACTATGTCTCGAAATGTGATGTGTTTTCTTAAATCATTATTTCAAACCGGTTACCGCGACCAGCCAAAGAAGACTTTCTTAATTTTCTTAAACTTTCTTTATTCTTTGGTTATTGCACTTTATATGTCAATAAAACATAAAGGACAATTTATAGTATATATTGTATACTTATGAAAATCTTTCTTCTCCACTTTAAGGCGTCATATCATTCTTCTCCATTTAGACGCCATTAAAGGACCCAAGTGGTTGGGTCACAATATTCAATATTTTAAATTTAAAAATATGATATTAAAATATTTTATATTAAATATTATTTAAAATATCCATTCGTTAATATGTCCTTTACCCCATTATTTTTCTTTGTTTTGCCTTTTAAGCTTGTTTTTTCTGTATATATGTTAATTGGTTTAATTACCCATATTTGAGGTAACGAATAAAGATTTTTATTAATACGTGCGGTGACCAGTCTTTATTCTACTGTCCTGAGGAAGCAGCCGGATCAAGGTCACCTATTATAATTAACGCGTGGCAGACGAGCATCCCCCACTGCTTCCAGTCACCGCATAATTTTAATTTTATTAATCTATTTTTTACACTATTTATTTTTATGCCATTTTTGATGTATTGTGCAGCTTTTTTCATATGTTAAGCGTCCGTTATGTGGTGCTAAAATGCAAAAAAATTTCAAAAAATCTTTAAAAATCTAAAATATAAAATTTCAATTTTTATTAAAAAACCGGAAAACGTTAATTTAAAAAGTGTTAAACAATGAACAAAAGAAAGAAATAAAACATTTTGGCATACAAATAAAATTTCATACCTATAAAAGGACCTTATGCTTATGCATAAAGATAACTGTGGTTCCATGAACTGATCCCGCTTTTTTATCTATTATTAAATCAAACAGTGGTCACTGCTGATTAACAAGAGGAATATGTCAAAATAATAAAGCCTAAAAGGAAAGCAATAAATAAATCAATTCTGTTTAGCCATGTTCTGCTGCAAAAACATCAATAACTGATGACCATGCTGTTGTAAAAATGTCGCTGGATCAATTTGTGAGGACATGCTCATCTCATTGCTAGTCGGCAACGATGCTATTCTGAAAAATTTTTTTTTATCATAAGCAATATTTTTTCGCATATTTCGTGATGCAAAGAAAGCCCAAATGTATGCGATATTGAAATAAAATCGAAGACTTTACAAAGAAAAGTATTGAAAATACCCCTGACACAGATTGCTGAAATTATTAGGATTATCATTGCTTCTTCCATCAGTTTCATGCTCATCTTGTACACTTAACCGCTTGCGACCGGTTCGTATTGCTTGATTAAGTACTCTCATCATCAATTTCCTATCATCGACAGGCAAATGCTGAGAACCTTCCAGCTATAATATATGAAATATTATTTGAGAAAACCTCTTTTTCTTCTAAGGACTAACATTAATGGTTGAACTGGGTTAAAAAGCGAGGTGTTCCAGAAAACTAGCTGCTTAAAAAATAGAATCATTGCTCATTCTTTGAATATTTCATACATCTAATCGCTTAAATTCTGCAATAAAAAATAGATCAATTACATTAATTTTATCAATAACTCAAACGAACTCAAACGACAGCATCGCTTGATATAGAACTGCTGAAGAACAAAAAATTCAATATATCTAGTATGATACTAGAGACCCTTCTATAGCCAAGTGATACTCCGATAAAGGATTATAAGGTTAATAGGCAATGCAACAAGCCAAACTATAAATGGTCTCATTAGAAGGAAAAGATTTTGTTTAACAAATCCTTCTATTCATTATTAACAAGCTTTTTTTAAAAAAAAAAGATTAAAAAATTAAGCTTTTAGAAAAAAAGATTAAGCTTTTTAAAAAAAAGATTAACCAATTGCCTTGCTTGCAACACTTTGTCCAATCCAGTGTTGAACTGTTCCAGACATTCAGCGACATGTCTTGCCATTTCTAAATTATATTTAACATAACAGTTAATCCCAACTTTAATTCATGCTTACAACAAATTTCTTCAAAATTTGTTTAGTTCAAGCACAAGCAACGGCGCCGTTGTTATTAAGCCGCCAGGCATACCGTCTATATAAAATAATTATTTGCCTTAATTTATCAAGAACTTTCGCAATCGCTGAAGAGAATTTTTTGCTTTATAGCGTTTGAGAGGAAGTAAGAAATTTTAGTGTGTTGAGTACTAACCTTCTTTGGAATCGAGATATTTAGATTACCATTGGAACTAATGAACAACTGGAAAACCACAAGAACACCAGAAAATACATCATTTTTTACTATATCAAAAATGACGGGGCTGCTGAAAGTAAGTCTATCCATGCTGTGTTGCAGATTTGGATAGATCGTCGAATGCAATATTTCAATGCAATGCAATCGAGAAATACAATATTTCCGGTGGTGTGGCGGTGAATTTTGCTGAATGTCGTCGAAACTGATCACCAGTATAATCATTATTCTCCATTCTAATAGAAAAGATTTTACATCCGTATAGCAAAAAACAAAAAAAATCTATGAAACACACCAATATCACCGTCTCATGTCGCAAAAATTGAACGGTAGACCAAAAGAATCAGGAACATAACAATTTAGGAGGAAGAATATGATCGTATGAAGGTCGAAAATAAAAGCAAAATGACCAAATTATTTAAACTTAAGCGAACAAGGGGATAAGCTAACAAGCAAATGACGAGGAAAATTCAGCACGCTGTCAAAATCAAATGACTACTAAAAAAAACAATAGATGCAATAATTCATAGATAGTAATCAAAAGATGTAAAAAATATTCACTTTGTTACCATAATTGGAAGATATCAGACAAAAAAATTAAATAATCGAAGGAAGTTCTTTAAAATGATGAAGGAAGAAAGAAATTCTACAGATAAGAAATCAAGGGTTCATGGTTTTGAAAATTGAAAGATTGTGATTTGCAAGTATAATAACTGATTCTGATAATTATTTGATATTTACTGGAAAACAGTAACGTATTCATAAAAGGTCATTATTTTATCATTTTAAGGTCATCATCATGTAACCATCCAGCATCCAGCATCCAGCAATAGTACTTCATTTTTCATTATTAAAGGTAAATAAAATTGTTTCGAACAAATTGTATAGTCTCTATCAATGATTGAAGTTGATCAATGGATAGTATGAAAAGAAAGCCGCATAAGCCTCACGTCAACATGATTTAAATAAGTAAAGAATTCAAAAAATTCTTTTAAGAATGAAAAGAAACAATACTCTGAAAATAAATTGGTCTTCATTATTTTAATTCTATATTATTTTACTAGTTTGGCCCTAAAATTTGCCTTAAATATTAAGATGAATCGAAAGCATAATCTAATTTGAACTGATGAAAAATTTGCACCGAAAGGCCGAATTTTTAAATTACGCAAATTTTAAACATTTCACATAATCAGGAAAATGAGACTAAATGAAAAAATGTTAACAAATAATTCAATGGTTTAATTCAACGACCAAGGATCTCACTTTACTTCTGTCTTCCTTTTCTCATGTAATGTATATAGATATCTAACAGTTTAAGTAAATAAATATAAAGTAAATAAATGTTCGCCATTTCGCTACTCTAGCTGATACAAGAAATTTTTGCCAAAAAACCACTTAGAAAGAGAAACATCATACGTAATCAACAATATTTAAAATTTTTAATGGCAGATTTTAGTCAGAGGAAGAGTCCGAACCCTGACGTTCAAGAGCACAGCCGAAGCAGCAATCATATCTGCTCCTTTTTAGAAGCTAAAGATATATCTTTTCAAGGCACATAATAATTTGTTTGATTAGCGAAATACTATACGTAATAATTCAGCCATTTTTAATTGATGAAAAGGAAATAAATTAAATTTTTAAAATTATATTAAATTATCTTATTTCTTACCCAAATAAAACTAATAAAATTCAATGGCGATAAGTCATTTCTCGAAAAAAATGACGCTAACTGTTTTCACATTTCGCAATTCCTCAAGCGATTAAAGCGACAAAAACTTAAAATTTTGCTAAAATTCAAAATAAAACATAATTCTCTCACTAATTTACTGATAATGTGATACTGATATAAACATTGCTTAGTACACACCGCAATACAAATCTCTTGAGTAATTTATGCTGGTTATTTAAATTTTTATCATAAAGTTAAAACAGTTTATGTTTCACTGAAGTATTTCTTTGTGAATCGTTTTTGCAACGTTGCATAATTCTAAATCATATCTAAAAAACTACAAAAAAATCTATATTTTTCCTTAGAATAAGAAAAATTTATTGAAACCTAATCTAATAAACTAAAACACCTTTAAAAAATCATAAAAATAAATAAGTCTACAAATAATAAAGGAAACCCAATCAACGAAGACCATAAAGCTAAGGCTAATGCAGAAAAATCAAATGCAGTTCATCCCATCGTTTTATATTAAGAATCAGAAACAGACTACAATAGAGCAAACAAAAACCTAGATATATTCCAAGAATTGCGCCACCTGTCTAAGCAAATGAGCATTAAAACATTACCAAATTTGCCAGAAGCATTCGCCTCTTTCTATTTTTAGGTTTCCCATTGACAACTGAGCAACAGTAAAAATATAATACCCATTTTACTTGGATGAATTCATTCAAGAAAAAAAAGAAAACCTATCAAACATTCGTTGAAAAAATATGAAAAAAAAAATTTGAAATAAAGAATACCAATGAACTTACGCTTGGACTGTTGATTCCTTCCATCAAGTTCATTAAATGCACTTAAATCACTCGGTGATGATAACTGCCGAGGAGACTCTTCAGCTCCAACATCTGGACCAACCATATCTCTATTAAATAAAATACTTTTTATGTAATTTTTATGTAATTTTCAGGACATCATATATAAAGCATTTAGACCAATAAAAATCCAAATAAATATTTTAAAAAAATTAGACTTGAAACTTACTCAGCAAATTTTTGTACAAGGTAATTCGGAACTCGCCGTGAAACATTGGTCGATGAATTGCATGAATTGCGACGTTGTTGTTCGAATATACGACGAGTGCTTTGCAACAAACTTTGTCTAGGCAATCTTTCTACACATGAGACACTACTTAAAATCTTAATTCTGAATAAAATTCGAGAAAATTACTTTTAATCCTGAAATCAGAGTCCCTAATTTTTTTGCAGTGCACATTTAAAATTTTCCTATACATAGGGATTGTAAAGTTGATAAAAGTTATAATTTGGAAAAGCTTTTTTACAATTTATTTATATAATAAGATTTGGCAAAAGGCAAAAATTTTACCGATTTGAACCATTCATTGAAAAATATCGCTGATTAACTGAAGATGCATCGTTTCGTACAAAAGATGAATTGTTGTTAACTTCAGAACCGTTACTATCGCTTTCACCACTTGTTGTTTCACGTGATATTCGCGGTTGAAATCGTTCGACCTAAATGATCTCCAAATTTATTTTTCGAGAAAACTTTTTTTATATTTACATTTTGTGAATTCTGAAAGATGAATTTCAGAAATCACATAAACATCTTAGGAACGATTCCTTTTTTGCTATTTATACCTTTTTTTGTACGGCACCCTTTCCACGTTGATTTCGTAAAAAATAAAATGCTTCGATTTCACCATCCTCTATTCCAGTTTCTCGAGACAATTTTACATTATTTGATACATCAAATTGCGTTAAATCAGGATTACTATAATAGATTTTTCTATATCATCAAACCCACGTTGCCAGAAATTATTATTCTACAAGATGAAGAAATTTGTAATATAAAACATGAAAAAATTAGAAATGATTTAGTGGAACTGGAAAAATGATTAACAATTTACACGCATTTAGTAATTCAACTATTCCAATATTAAATACCTCGCTTTCTTGAGATTTTCGATTGTTTGTGCGAGCTTGCTAGGAAATCTTGATTCTTCTCGGCATATATTTTCCGCAGAATCGAGATCTGCATTTATATGAAGACTACCAACTGATCTGGCTATGAACTTGCTCTTTTTCGATAAAGATGATGTATCTCTAAAAGTTAATTTCGTAATGAAAACACAAAAATATCACGATAAACAGAAAACCAATGGAACACAAATTCAGCGAAAACTATCCTCAAGACAAAAGAGTACATACAATAAACCCTTTGCAGCTGAAGACAAAGCGGAAGAAGCAGATGAAGTAGAGACCATATACGCACGATTTAAAGATACAGGCGATGCAGCACAGAAACGAAGATTACCAATAGACTTTGAGCGCAACATGCTTGAAGAGGAAGATGATGGTATGTTTCTATCACCAACAGCATTAACAAGATTTTCCTGCGACTTTCGCAATCTAAAAATATTTTCAAGTGAAAAAATAAATAATTTTTACATAAAGAACCAGGAAAGATCTCGACTCACTACAAAAACTTAAAAATTTACTTATTTTATTTTTGAACGAAAGTTGATCATAAAATTCGCATTCTTACCAAATTTCGCAAAACCTTTTTAGTCAGCAGAATATGTCGTACAAACTAATTATATAATTAACTTTTTCAGATTTTCCAATGTTGAATAAATATTTCACCAAATTTAAACAATTACATGCCACGCAGTTGATTTAATTTTTCAATCGCTTGTGAAGACTGTTTAGTGGGAGCTCCAACCGTTCGCAGATTTACTCGAGAAGATGATGGTGTAATTCGACTTGAAGCCATTGTAACCACTGAGTATAATGACATATCTGAGTCCTAAAGTTTATCATACCATTAAAACATTTATATACACTAAAAAAAAAATTTACACTAAGAATAAACCTGATTTTCCATATTTATAAGAAATTACTACCTGACGTTGGCGCTGTTTTAATTGGGAAGTATCAGTACAAATGTTCAACATTAATTGAGATGGACTTTGACTACGACTTCTCAGATGTAAATCCGATATTGTATAATCTTCTTCTAAAAAGCTATTCGCTGAATGTTCAATGGAAATTATAGAAAGTATGGATTAAAAGATTATACCTAACAGATTATAAGATTCAGTGATAAAAAATGAAAAGAAAATTATCTGAATATCAAAGCAGTAACAGCAAGAAAAATTGTTAGGAGCAATTAAAAGCAAATTATTAGAATAGAAATCTATACTAAGATATTAAATAAACAAATAATGAAAAATCCAAACTAAAATAATGAAAAATCGACATAAAGAATTCACTTTTTAGTAATATTCCAAGTCTAAAAAGCATGAACCAAGAAAAAATCATGAACTCAATATTCCGATTATTAAGCATACGGCATTTAATTTGAACTTTTAATGGCACCTGATGGAACAAAGTAAGCAGAATAAAGAAAAGTAGTAATGTAACAAATAAGCGAATAGCTCAAACTGAACTTTCCACTCAAAAGCACCACATAACAATAACTGAAGAAAACATTTTAAGATAATATGGAAAATGAAAAGTACCTCAAACAACTACAGCTAAATTCTCTTATTAAATTGTCTAAATTATTGAAGAAAGAGAATAAATGCATTGAAAAATTGAAAAAATATATGCCGATACTAATCTGACGCAAAATTTTTTTTCGCATTGTATTCATAAATAATCAATCTATATGAGCGAAGCTACTGATATAAAATTGCTGACGATAAGACAACTTAACCAAATCAAAATTAACATATAAATATTTCTGGATGAGTTTTCGAGAAAAAGAGCAATTGCATTAAAAAGCAGGTAGAAGTTATCTACCTTTGTTGTTATGGAATGCGTTAACGCCAGCATTAACTGAAGAAACAGCTGTAGTAGTAGTAGTAGTAGTAACAGTCGAAGAAAGAGTTGTTGATATGTGATCCACTATTCCAATAGTCATGCGACGTTGTTGTTCTTGCTTGAGGCGGTAAATTGTACGAGCACGTCGAGCACATTTCGACATGGAATCGCCATTATTCCCACCAATATAAGCTCGTGCCGAATGAAGTTGATGTGGTTGACAGAACCGTAAACCGCCATAATTAAGCTTTTCAGATTCTGAAAGCAGCGCATACACACTAAAAACAAGCATTTGCATGTTTGTGCATATGCACGCTGTGCTTTCTTCCAAAATTAAAAAATATCTTCCCTTTAATCTTAAAAGCCGACCAACATAGATCTAAGTTGTACAGTGCTTTTAAAACCAGTTATTCCTATTTGACATTACAACCACTCTAATTTTACTTCCTCATATGCCATCAAAAAATGATCTTATAGCACAAAAAGATTAAAAAGGTCGAGAACTGGATTAGACTGTGTAACAATTTAAATGGTCATTTGTCTTGGTTGATATTAGATGTATAAGAAGCGAAAAATTTTTAGTGATGTGCAGAAAAAAAGGCTGAAAAAAGATAGCTGGTGACGAATAAAATTTTAAAGAAACTAAATGCTTGATAAAATGAATGTGATGTGTTGCTAAACATAATATATAACATTGTTAATTGATATTAAGAATGGAAAAATGATTTTTTTCTTAACTAGAATGTATCGGTTGGCAATTAAAAAATTTGAGGCAGGAAAGATGAGTGATTATTGTTCAGATGTAATCCGAAAATTTTCACCTGATTCTTATTATAAAAAATTCAGGTTGTGAAGAGGATTCATCTGCCTTCCTAACCCAAAATAACTTCCTGGTAAAAATTTCTTATCATATTAATAGCCAGTACAGGAACGCCAAGCTCTTATTTACTTATTTTACTTCGAGAAAAAGAAAAATCATTAGCTAGAAATTCACTTCTTTGAAAATATTAATAATTTCGATGAAATATAAAATATTTTCGTCTAACCATCCTACATTACAATTATAATTTGATGATATCATTCAGAATTTATTATTATCTGTGCGCGAAAGTCGATAAGAAAGAAAAAAGTGGGTGATTTGAGGTGGAGGCTGAAAAAAAATAAATTTGAGGTGGTTATTAATTCTGGCCCTTAACTACGGTTTTGTGGCCAAAAGTGAATAAAGCTAAAGGCCAAATGCTTTATACCATCGCAAAACTAAAAAGTTGAAAGTTATGTGAGTGTTGATAATTGGTTAAATATGGGAAAATTCAACGAAAAGACGGCTTGATCTCAAGCCTATGAATAAAAATTTGACAAAATAAAAGTAACACTAATTTTTGCTCAAAATCTTGCCGTAGATAAATCGTATACAATCTTACGTCTCCGTATTATAGCAGATGCTGCCCCTCCGGATGGTGAAGAATAATGCACATTACTTGAAGAACGACGTGAACTGATTGCAGGTGGTATCCATACTGTTCGAGGCTATAAAGAAAACGGTAACATAATACCAACTAGAGCCTTTATAATGATAATAATTTTTGATCTGCTTTCACTTATGAGCTTTACAATTTAAATTTACTAAAAACGAATTGCTTCAGTATATTTTTGTGAGACACAAGATGTAACTCCATGAAAATTTCGAAAACTGCTCCGAATACGCTTAAGCATTCTATATTTTACATCATTATAAAGTATCTGCCTGGTATATTTAGGTTTTTTAGGTATTTAGGTTTTTTTTTATTTCTTATGATTCCCTCCCCTTAAATTCTCTTTGTTTTTTTATTGTAAGCACATAGCAAGGTTTTTGCTCTGCATGGTTTTTTTATAAAGTAAATATATAAAGCTAAAATCCAAATGTTTTACACCATCGCGAGACATATTAATATGTGGAAATTTTGAAAATAAGGCCTATTCTTCGAATTGAAGAAGCAACAGATGAAAAAAAAAGTAAATACCTCAGTTTGTTCATTAGTCGACATGAACTTTTTGGTCAAGCTGCATCGTCGAACAGATAAACGATCGAATGCATTTTCATTTATCAATTTTTGAAATGGCCGGCTAACATCAGTTTTTAATGGCGTCGAACACTGGAAATCACGCATATCAGGTGTAACTGGACTGAAAGTCGACGATCTCGCACACTGTTGTTGCTGATATTGGCTTATAGCCGACATTGATATCGAACTATTTATCACTACAAATCAAAATTGCAAATTTGCTATCTTGAATTCATAACCGAATTTTAGCATAATAGTTTGAAAATTTTCAAATAAAACAAATAACAAATATAATGCAAAATTTTTATAAAAAACGGCTGACTATTATCATATAGCATTATGTTTTAAATTCATTCTTATTCTTAAATACAGTTCAAAAATATAAATACACTTCAAAAACGATATGAAATCAAGTGATTTTATAGTTCTGCAAAGAAACTAAAAAATTATCAAAAAAATACTTGGATTAGCAAAATTTCGCAACTGAGGTGTTGATTCTGGGGTACGGTAAACAGATGAAGAATCATTAATTATCTTTTTTGAACAATGATTTGGTGAAGACATATTCCTACCAATTTCCGTATCAATACTGTGTGCTGCTAAAGTTTTTTGCTGACGAAAAATGAATGGTGATGCATAACCAGATATTTCTGAAAAAAACCGAATTTAACCAATTAACTCCAAATTTGATGTTGCAAAGTTCAATAATTTTATTAGTCAATAGCGAGGAAAATTACAAAATATACTCAAAACGATACTATAAATCTCAAATAACTTTCTTGAATTGTCATTGAAATCGAGTATCAGCTTTAGTTTAATTAATTAATTTTACTAATTAATAACGAAATAAAAGCTAACCCTCCCATTTTTTTCGAGATCTACGTGGAGAGCCACCAGAAACTAATGTTTGCTCGCACATGGCAGGTCGCAGATTAGACATAGAGCGACTTGTTGTGTAGAAGCTCGTATTTTCGGGCGCAATTAACGAACTGCTGATTCTTGTGCTGTCAAATTCAAGTGTTTTATCGTTGTAAAAATCTAAATATTTTTTGTAAATTATAGCATGTTACTCATAAAATGCAATTTTCACGCCTCTTTAAAAGATTTTTAGTTTTTTTAAAGAATAACCAAACAAGAAAATTTAATGAGCACACCGGTGATAGCAATTTTTCTCAGTTATCTACAGAAAAAATTGCCGAGTGATTGATAAGATTATCGTCTCGAATTCAAATTTAAATTTTCAAATTTATTCATTTATTCATTTATTTTTTATTCATTCATATTATTTTTTTTTGGTGGTGATCTTTAATAGATTAATTATGTAAAAGGTTAATATTTCTGATTAGACTGGGAGAGTCTCTGGGACCATCAAATTTTCTACAGGAGTGAACTACAGGAGTAGAAGTGTTTTTTAAAACATAAAGGCTGGAAACGCACCTATACTTCAATGGCCAAGTGAAAAAAAAGAAACTTCTTATAGTACCAACTACCAGAGGCTCTCCCAGTCTAATCAGAAACATTAACCTTTTACATAATTAATCTATTGAAGATCACCACCAAAAAAGAAATAATATGAATGAATAAAAAAATTTTTCTAAAAAATTTGTTGAAGATTGACAATTTTTTCAAGTGTTTATTCATATCATTAGATAAACCATTCAATCACCATTTTCATTATTATTTACTAATATTTAATTTAGAAATTTACTAATATTTAGCAAAAAAAGTATATTTACCGCTAGCAGTTTGCACATCTTCCCAATTTTTTTGGCATTGTAACGTTGATTTTCGACGCACGACTTCAGTCGCGACTCGTCTGAGTTCGAATTCACTGAAATAATAAATTTTATATACTCTCTGTGATTCTCTGTATGCTTAGTTCTGTATACTTAGGACAATGTAAACTTAAAATCATGTTATACTGAAAAACTATTCGTATCGCCTCGTCAATGTTATTTGTTTTCAATTTAATTTTAAAAATGGCTTGGAACGATGTATTAAAATATTTCTTAATTAATTTTTCTCTAAATTAAAACTATCATAATAAATTGCCTTAATATTACAATTAAAACTCAATTCAATTAATTAACAAAGAACTTTCAACACAAAAAACTTAACTAACTTCAGGAAAATAAAAAACTAAAATCTAATCAATCAATAATTATGGTAAATATTCAACAGTTTTCTCATTCAATAATAAATTTAAAAATATAATTAAAATTCTGTTTTCCTGTTTCCTGTTTTCGATAAGAATGAACTTACCATTAAAAAACCCAGGTCTAGCTGGAAACGATCTATATTTTTATGCCCAAATGACTCTATAGCAAAAAATTCTTAAAAAATTAACAATGAATGCAGAAGCCGGAAAAAGTGAACAATAATCACTTACTTTAATTAGCAAAGCATCTAAACTATAATATTGCTATGAACAGTGATAAGCGCCATAACCACTAAATCCGATCAAGAACTGCTAATATCAACAAAACAAAAAATGCCTGCTTGTGTAAAACTACAACTTTAAAGATTACTACAAATTTGTCAGAAATTCTAACTAATAATGACATAATTGTCGAAACAATAATACTTCCACTAAGTTATAATACATTTCTAATCTCTTAACAACCTTGAAACTTTAAAAACGTACTTCTCACACAATGATCGTTGCATTAAATAAATGACGACAAAATATTAATAATCCAGGCAAAATAATCCACAATATGGATGATACAAATGATTCGGACATTTAAAACAAATGTTCCCGAAAAAAAACACTCAGGAACAAAAGATTTGGAAAAAGAGAATCATGACGAACCAATTGCCTGGTGACGATATGTCTGCCTGCTTCAATATTACTGTATCTGGCTTTTGTCCAATACAACTGTCACCATCTTCTTCAGCAATTCTTACGCTATTCAAGGAACCAAATTCCGATTCAGAATCTTTCACCTATAAATTAAAATGATTCAAATTATGTTAAATTGATTTTTTTGCCATTTACTATTAATTTACTATTAATTTAATAACCTTAGATAGAGAAATTGCTCCTGGAATTTCTTCGCATGTTGCATCACTTCCTATTAAGCTGTCCGGTGTCTCGGATCTGAAAAATTTAGCACATCGAGATTGAAAAAACCCTGAAAAACCAATAAAATTCAAGTAACGACCACTAAACTACCATTTTCGTAATATACCAGCTATTTCTAACCGAAATTTATACTTTTTTGAAATCGTACAAAAATCCACACTTTTATTTCAAAAATATTAAAAAATATTTTATTCCGATGTTTCCCGATGATTCCCGAAAATATTTGGAAAATATTGAAAAATAAAATATTCACTTATACACTCACAAAACATACTTTTTATAATGTAGCGTAAAATAAACTGAAAAAATTTTGATAAGTTCTAGAAAAGGAGAAAATCTGGAATGCCGAGTATTTATGGCTTATTTATGTATACAAAATTCCCCTACAAAAAATAGCGCGACAGGAGCAATGCTCCAACTGATTACTATCTACTGAAATAGATAAATATTATCTAAATAAAACAGTGCTACATAACTGAAAAAATTTTTAAGTTATTTTTAAGAAAAAAATTTTTAAAAAAGTTCAAGAAAAATTCCAAGAAATAATTGTTTTAGAAATATTTTATAATCAAAGAATGAAAAGAATTATAAACAAAAGAATTTAAAAATTTTCAAAACCAGGATTACTTCTGTGAAAAATTCATTTTTTAACCCAAACACCCGTCTAAGACCACAAGAAAAGAAAAAATTTGCTCAAACTACTCAAATCTACAATCCGTGAATCGTATATTTTTACCCAATATTTCAAATTAAAATTTTAAAATTCAAAAATTTTACCGCTCTTTACTTTTGTCGACCAAACTGCCAGGTGCTACACGCCTAAATTTTGCTATCATCCTATTAGTTAAAGCGCTCGACAATCGCCAGACAAAAATACAGCCATTGTATGAAACCACTATCAGTCGCCTAAAAGAATAAAATTATTATTACGAACTTTTGTTGAAGAAATCATATTAATATGTACCGACAATCACTGGAAAATCCAATATCGGTAATATTATCGGAATGTCCACTAAGAATTGCAGCGCACTCGCCCGTTCCAATATCAATTATATACACATTTCGATCTGTCGAAGCAGTAGCTGCAAAAGTTTCCGACGGATCGAGCCGAATCTGAAAACGATTTTAGTGAAAAAAATAAGGTTTTTAAAAATATATTGAAATGCAATTGAATATGACTCACGAGCTATTTTTCCATTGTCTAAAACGTTACTACATGTTTTCTTCGAAAGAAAGTAGAAGGGAGGGTTACACAGGATTTTCAGAATCGGCAAAATAACAAAAGGCGATACGACCGGCAATTGTCTTTTTGATTTAATGGTTTCAAGTTCAATGCCCACTTAGTCTAATAAATTAAGGTTTTCACCAACTTCAAATTCACCAAAATTTTATTGTTAAGATTTTAAGCAGTATAATACCTTTCTTAGTTGACCGTCATCGCCCGTTGCACCTTTAACATGCTTCATTAATTTTCCTGGCCTTCCCTGCACTGTATATGTTCTAATTTGTCGATCCTGACATGCCACCATGATACCATCCGAACACTTTATCATCGAATTGAGACCAAATTGTGAAGAAATGTGATTTACGCGATCAAAACAAACCAGAGATGGCTAAAAATTAATATAATAAAGTAGAAAACTAATAAAGTAGAAAATTAGTTTCGGTATAAAATATTTCAAATTTATTGTTGAAGTAGGATTTGAGAAGGAAGGAGAATAATGAATAGTAATCCATTAAGCTCTTTGAAAAGTTGATAAAATCATAGATTCAAATTTTAAAAGAATATTAATAAAAGTCATATTTAGTCTGAGATATAAATCGTAACTTGTTGTTTGAACATAAAGAATTAACCTGAGAATCAACTAATTTGCGAATTACAATCGTTTTATCAGCAGCACAGGTTATTAAATAAAGTTCACTGACTTCCTTAAAATTTATAATTTAATGAAATGATTTTCTAAGGAAAAGGATGAAGTGAATACATATAAAAAAACGACTACAGGTTTCACTCAAAAATAATTTTTTAAAAAAGTGTCAAAAAGACAATGGTCAATTCGTCGATCAGTGATTCTTAAGATTTTTCATCTTATCTCTTTAAAGACTGGTGAATGTGAAGGGCTTATAAAAACATAACTAAATATAATATATAACTTTTCCTGCCTTCAGAAAACACTTGAAATCTATTCAAAATATTTTAAACTATAATTCATAGAATAGCATTGACACAGATGAAAACTGACAAGAGAAAAACAAAGTAATAGGTTGTTAATACGAAACATTGTAAACTGTTATTTGGTTCAGTTAAAAATGATTATCTAAATATGAATAATTACAATATACCTTTACAAAAACAATTGAATTAATCGCACTCGTATGGTCGTCCACGGTAGCTATCGGTTCATAATTGTTGCCAGGATCGAAAATATGAACCAAGCGATCTCGACTGCCAGTAGCCAACAAATATCGGCCTAAACATTATAAATATCATGCATGTAGTGGAAAAATTTGCAAGAATTTTATATTGAAAAGGAATGTTTTCTTTTAACAGCTTTCACCATTTCTGGTTAGGCTGGCTCCAACGGCTAAGACGCTTCCAAGCAGCGCGATCTGATGCCATCGTCGACAGTAATAGAAGCTATTCCTATTTCCACCGCCTAAGTCCATATATTACTGGTCCACCTATATCTTCCCTGACCGTATTAGTCCAGGTTTTGATTGGCACATCTCGCTTTTGATGCCATTCATCAGACGGTTTAGCAAGTAACGAAATATGCGACAACTCTTGTGGTGGACGATGGAGAACGTGCCCTAACCACCGAAGGAGATGCTCTGTGATAACATTATTGATGCAAGTGGTATTTGAACGAAGATGGATGCGATTATGTGATATTTTATCCGTTCGACGGACCCGTAAAATATATCTTATAGTGGTCAAAGTTTCTTAATATCCGAGATTCGGCTGCTGAGGCTCGATTCCTCGCAAGGAAAATCGAGGTGATCACTCACCTGTGTCTTTATCGCCAAGGGACTCCTTGGGTATATCAACTCTCATTGGCCATGGCTTAGAACCATATAGCAAGATCGAACGAATCACGGCAATATAGATGCGGACTTTTGTTTTAATGGTAATTTCACAACAGCTCCATAAAGGTTTCGCCAACAGGAAGAATGCATTTCTAGATGTCGTGAACCGGGATATAATACCATCTTTTGCCTGGCCATTTGGTATTAGAGTGGACCCAAGGTATTTAAAATCAGGCACTTCCTCAACCGGCAATGAACAGAGATGTGATAAAAATTGGATACCAAAATGATAAAATACCTTTTTCTGAATCAGAGAATTCTAAACACAAAATATCACTTTCATGAGCTTCATAAAATGCAATTAATGGAGTTTCCGGATTGGTTAAATCGATCACGCTAAAATAATGAACTTTTTAGGAACAAAAAAGCGAATTATACAACGGCCTCATTTTTAAAGCATCCTTCGATATCATTATGAATAATTAATAATAGATGAGCAAATTTTAACAACAAATATTTTTATGTTATTTTTATGTTTATAGACTTCTCCAAAACAAAAACCATAGAGGAAGGGCAGAAAATCCATCATCAACAATCTCTCAATATCTCTCAATTATTATAGTTCAATATATCATTAACCAAAAAAACTAATGCTTAGAAAAAATACAGTGAGCCACTTTCTCCAATTGCAAAAGCGTATGCAAAAATAAAAACACAACCTGAGGTTACCATCTCTACCTCCAATAGCCAAATGATGACCATCTGGGCTCACCTTCAATGATTTAATTCCGTTAGTAACATCCGTTATCAAAGCAGTCATAATGGCTGAAAATAACTTCTTAGACGTTTAATTTTAGAGAAATCATTCAAATGTCATAAAAGAAAAGAACGATTAAAAGTTTTAATAAATTTAAGTAATGATTCTTAGGTAATAAATTTACACAATTTATTACACCATCCTAAAACAAAAAAATAAATCTATTATTATAAATTCAAAAGACAATAAAACATAAAACAAACGACGCCACTTAAAAAGAAGAGCTCAAAAATTCAAAAATATTTTAAAATGAAATAGTGAAGTAATGAAATGAAAAATGAACGAAAAATGATAAATTATCTACGCAAAATTTTTTAAATTTAGCAAATTTGAAATGATGGTTAAATATTTTGTTTAAAATATAATTGATATTTATAAGTTAAAATAAAAACCGTTATTTGGTTCAGTTAAAGATGATTCACTGTTGGAGACATATATCACTTTTTTTAATTCATCGGAATAGACATTTGTTTCCGGATGAAACAGGAGTGAGTCCTAAAATAAATTCGTAAAAATTATTCACCATAAGAAAATAATTTTGATAAAAAACACGGAAGTAAAATGACAATACCTTCTCAAAAACCTTAGTTCGTTGATCTATATTCCAGATACGCACAGTTTCATCAGCCCCACCACTGATAAATGTTCCTGGAAGAAGCCATGGGAAAGAAGGATACATCTGAAAATTTCCTATACCATACAGATGTCATTTAATGCGACATAAAGAAAATGTAAATAACGCAAGTTTATTTAGTTCTTTATATACCTAAACAACCTAGGAAATAAAAAATAAAAAAAAGAACTTGAAAAAACGAATGAAAAACCAAAAAAAATGAAATCAAAAATCTTAAGCGAATCTCATCTCCACTGAAATGCTTCCACATATACTTCTTAATCATATAATAAACAATAAATCCATACCTCAAGCGCAAAAATTGGTCCAACATGAAACAACTGTGAACTAAGTTTATGTATTCGATCATAACTTTTGTACCAGTTATAAATAGAACGATCAGCATAAACCGCAGTAAGAATACCGGCTTTTCGATTATAGCACAACGCTCTAACATCTGGGTACCTTAAAAAAAACATTTTATGAACAAAATATTCATTTTAAAAATATAGTAGTTTACTTTATCCATTCATAAACAAATTAGGCAAGATGCCATGTACTGCTATTAACAGCAATGAAAATTAAATAAAAATTTTAATATTACAATACAAATACAGTTGGAAAAACAAAATATACGTGTTGAGACTTTCATTTCAGAAAAAAAAATAAGAAAAAGGCTGATAAAAGTATATAAAAGTATAATAAACCTGCAATTTTTCGGATGTGAAGCAGGTTTGAAAGCGTCAGCATTGATTCCATTAGCCACATCACAAGTCAAATAATGAGGTTTACAATATGTCAATTTATGCGCCATAGTTGAAGCGTCAAAAGACCGAATCGTTCCATTGGTGAAACCGATAAATAATTCGCCACTGCCTAATGCAATTGAATGAGGTAATTCACCATGAAGATCATAAGTGCTTGTCAACTGAAACAGTTATAGAAACTATCTATAAAGAATAAAAATGGTGAAAACTTCCAGATTTCAAAAAATATGAAATACAACCAAGATTTTCGTACTAAATAAAAGCCAGAAAAGTCAGAAATGTATATATGTTCGTCTCACTTTTTTATCATGGAATTCAACCAAAAGACTCGTTTCCGTAATTGCAAATGTTTGATTATTAGGAGCACAACACACATCCAAAAAAGTATTATTTCTCTGTTCAGCCAATATTGCAGAACGACCCTGATATCGCAAAATATAAAAAAACACTGATATTATTATTATAATATATATATATATATATATATGATACTTGAAAATGGTTGAACAAAAACCTGAAGCGGTATACTCTTTGATGCATCAATTTCAGCAACATGCCAGAATTTCACATGACGAACACCGACTGTTACATATGATGCTCCTTGTTCAGTGATATCAGCTGAATGAACCTAAATATCTCAACGAAGTAAGACCTAAACATTTTAAATCAGTAAAATTCAAACTTTGGAGTATCAACAATCCATTTGAAAAATATCCAGCTGATTTAATAGAATGTTCAACAAGGATATCGATTACTACTTACCCTAACAATTTTCATGAAGTACATATTTGTTTATGAGTGTACAATGTTGCAAATCAATTCGAATAAAGTTGAATAAAGAATAAAGTAAGAATATCGTGAATACCCTATTTAAACTTTCAAACTTATTCCTATGTTTTTGCTGAATGATCTTAATGATAAAAAAAAAAGAATTTACCTTAGATGAAAGCCTATTTGAAGCAATTTTCTTTTGATTTTTCCAATCCCAAACAACAATTGCTTGGTCATGTTGATTACCAATAGAAATAATATTTTTGCCGTCAGGTGTAAAGTGCTGAAATTTATTTTTAGCAAATTTATCTGAATTATTTTTATCAAGAATATAAAAGAATATAAAATACCTAAATGGTAAAAAAGACTTACGACACATACTATACCAAATTCATGGTTCTTGATATCGACAATTTGCATGGAAGCGAACTGACCATTATGATCATATAATTCCCATACTCGTAGGCTTGGTTCATGTCCACTCTTAAAAAATTAGTGGATCAACAAAAAAATATTCGTATTTATAATTTAATAGTTCATTTACAACTTTACCATAATTTATTTACAAGTCTACTTCCAAAAAGTTGAGAAATTTTAGCGAAATTTTGAATATCATATCAAGCAAATATAAAGAAAGAATTCTAGAAAAAGAAATTTTGTTTCATCAATAGTTATCTTGGCAACTACAAATTTTCCCGAGTAATTCATAAGTAATCTAGTTCCCGAGTAATTCAGTTTTTTAAATTTCTTAAACAATTATTAACTTCTCCAGTAGCAAGATATCTTCCGCATCGTGAAAAACATAAGCATGTTACATTATTTTTCGTTGAACCAATTAAATGTGCCTGACTATTGCTTTTTGGATTATGAAGAACCACCGTTGACCTAAAAAAAAGTCAAGAAATTAAAATAACAAAAAAAAACCTCATCAACAATATTAATAATATCGTAATGGTGATTAGGCCATGTTCTTCGTCGCTCATCATATATAACTAATTATTAGACAAGCCTCGAGACCGATTGTTTTAAAAGTGAGGAGGAAAGATCAGTTATGTCTTGGACTGATAAGACCAGGAGAAATTTTGAAAGGACAAATAGCCTAGCGATATATAAGTACAAAAAGAAAATTTCAAATATGGCACTGGAGCGAGAGCTTAAAAACATCTCACCTTCGTAGACGCATTGTCAACCTAACGATGAAGGTATGAGACTTAGAAAACAAGTGAAAAAAACCAAACCCAGCTGGATATGCAACAATTCCTTTATTCTCGTCCACTGATATAGAAGTTCGTGACAAAACTGTACAACCAATAACACGTTCGAGTTTTGCCTAAAATAAACCTTTTTGCCTAAAAAAAATTTTAAAGAATCACTTGAAAATGAAACAAATAAGGTAAATATCCCAATTATTATTTAAAGTTAATAATATTTATCTTTATTACAAATAGCATCTTAATTTTTTTACCATCATCGCTCGTTAAATATTAGTTACGATGAATTATCTTTGGAGAGTCGTCCCACTTCCTATCAATTAATAAGATTTCGACAACAGTTAGCTAAAAATTATATTTGTTCGAATATTATAGTTTTCTAATCGAAAAAAAATATGATGAAACGAAGGACATATCCACACAGGATAAACACTTTGGCCTGAAAATTTCACCAAATAGATATCACTGCTTATCACTGTAATATTACGCAACTTTTTCAGTGAAGCCATTTTCACGTTCTATAGAACGAAGGATCTATATTCCCATGAAAGATACTTACCGGTAACCCGATACAACACCAGACTCATCTACTAGTGAGGAAACAGTACGATGATGGGACAGAATACATATGGCATTGTATCGAATAACTGATAAGTATCCTAGAAAAATTCATGTCTTGAGGACCAAGAATCGAAGCAGAAATTTTATTTCATAGTTAACGATTTTATACAAAAGGAATACTTTTAACAAATTACCTGTTTTTTTGTGCTTAGCGCTTACATTTCTAGTTATGCTCATTACACTATCTATTAGTGTATAATTAAAAATTTTGAGAGCCAGAGAGCCATATATGGAACTCGAAATGCATATGGTTACCACGGCTTTTTAATTCTAAGGCCAAAGGTAAGCTTGCAACCTTTCGAAACTATAACCCAAACAACAACCATTTGACTTAAAAATAAATATTGTTTAAAATATTTATTATAAAAAATAAGCAGCAAGAAAAAAATTTTTTTCGTTTTCCTTCGCTAATTTATTGCTTTGGTTTTTTGAATTAATAACGAATCTTTCCTCAAATGCTGAAATGGATGACAATAGGGAAAATTTATCGAGACGTTATAATAATTAAGAAAGTGGAATGACAAGAGAAGCAAAATAGGTGATATCAAACGAATGAAATGAAAATGTCGAACTGGTTTATGCCAATCATTTCCCATGGATCGCATTTCCTACCAAATTAAGGAAAATTTTATCTTAATTGCTTTGCTTAATTAATTATTAAAGATTATAAAAATTAGAGAAATATTTTCCCAGTATAAAAACAGAACTAAACTAGTTCCAGCAATTCAGCCAACTCAGACAAAAGTTTTGCTTAAGGAGTACATGATGTTCCAAAAAAGTTACAAACGAACTTCTTGCGTCGTGTGAAAATCATTAAGTGGTAGAAGGAGAATAAGAACACCCTTATATGAAAATTCCCTAAGCAAGATCCTGCGCCCTAATAAAATCAGCGATATAATAGCAAAAGTCAATGAGGAATTCCCACAATAGCGGGAAAATTCACAGGAAAAAACCGCGCAACAAAAAATCCTGCCTGCATCGTGTGAAAACGGCTGAGAGAAGTTCCCTTCTCTTCCGGGAAAATCCGATTAAGGAATTCCCTCTTCTTGATAGAGAAAAACGAAATTCCCCATACAATGAAAAAAAATTATAGGAAAAAGCTAAACAACAAAAGTTTCAATAATAAATAACCAAAACTATAAATCGATAAATTATTGCAAAATAATCGATCAAAGATTGATCGAGCGATCGATAATTTCATTGAATTTTTGTACAAAAAACCTCGCACGAATTACTGCGATATATCTAATGAAAAATTTTGGATAAGTTTTAATCGAATTCCTATAAATTATTTCCAAATTACTATGTAAATTATTTAACAGAATTCCCATGAAATTTTTCACCTTAAATTCACCACTTTTTTTTCTTATTGTCAACCAACGTGCGAAATTCTTTCCTTAACAGTTACTCGTTTTCACCAAATTGAGAGAATTTTCCCCAACATTTATAACCATCTTCCACAAACTGGGGAATTTTTTTCCCAACACTCACTTTTTCACCAAATTTGAATTGGAAATTTTTGATATTTGATAATAAAGGAATAAATGAGATTCATTTCCACGCCATTCATTTCTCCCTCCTATTCATTTTCCTTTGTTTAAAACCAACTTTTTCATTTAAAAAACCTTGTCATTCGACTTAAGCTACCAATTTCGTTTGATTCGTTAAGATTGTTAAACGGCTTAATTCGAAAAACTGGTTAATACCATAAACATACTTCAAAAGCGCTTCTCTAAGTCATTAAAATTTTATTCAGTTTTACATCTTTTTTATAATCGCTAATCCCTATAGTCAGGCTTGGGCTTAAGGCTAATTGCAGGGAATAAAATGAGGAAGCCTTATCAAAGAAAAAAAATTAAAATTAACAATAAGCAAAGCAAGACAAACGAATGCAGACAGTGCTGTTTTTCTAGCTGCTCGAAATAAATTTTTTTTATTTCTGTTGTCAGTTTGACTGAATTATTTGTCCAGAAATATGCATTATGCATGTATACCAATCCATGTTTCATGTCTATTTTTTTCCAGTGAAAAATTAAAAAATTAACTCAAAATTTACCAGATTTATTTTTTTTAAAGATTTTCTCAACCAATTTTATTTTTAATTTTATTTTTACAAAAATAACAAAAAAGCATCTCACCATTTGAGCTCGCTTCATTGGTTATTAGTAGGGTTAGAAATTATCGTTGATAAGACTTGGCGATAGAAGTGCAGGTAGGTGGTGAGCGTCACCGGAAAATTTCTCAACGACAGAATTAACTCGCTTCGAGGGTAACCGTTGCTTAGGCTCAATTTTTTTTGCCAGTAATAAAAGGAAACGTTGAAAGTCATCGGATAAACTCCATTGAAAATTTGAAGTAATTTTCATCAGTTGATTTCAAAAACGAAAGGAAGAAATTTTCTGCGAACGATGATGAAAATTCCCAACGAGTAATAAACATATCAAGACTTTTTCACCAATCAAAACCAGTAATTTATAATTAAACAATTCATTAATAATTAGACGAAAAGGTCATATACATCAAAACGCATCCATATTATTGAAAATGAGCAATTGCTCTGAAAAAGGTCATGCAAAGGTCACCTATAATTCAGTAGAATTGTTTATGGTAAACACCTTGCGTACTATTTATTAGACGGATGGCCGCAGCTATTATCGCATATATTAGAACTAATGAAAACATTTCAGAAACAACATGCAAAGTTTAAGCGAATTCGCTTCGGAACTTGAAACGACTATAAATAATTAGCGCCCACCACTTCTGGTAAGGCTGGCTCTACTGGCTATAAGTAAAATGAGAAACTTTTGCTAGCGAGTCACTTAGCTCCTCGCTAGCACCGCCTCGGTTTTTTAATGCTTGCTATTTTCGGAGATGAGCAACAACTACTCTGCTATCGTGCCATAATTTTGATTATTCGCATTATTGGCAGATTTTTTTATCAAAATAAAATCCAATGACTGAAAAAAGACAGGCTAAATCAATCCATGGAAAAGATAAACAATTCTTTCTGAATGTTAATCGATGAGATTTATTCGTTTGCATTTCAATATCAGTTCAGGTAAAAGAGACAAATATTTTACGAGTAATACTACATGAATGTTTCGGAGAACAAAAAAATTATATCCATAAAATTACATACACAGAATTATATCGAACCTGACTTATAATCTTTTCTGATTAATCTGTTAAAAAAGATGAAATGTTGATTAACAAAATTCCGTAGTAGATTTACTAATACTATTCTACTTTTTCTAATAATACTCAACATTTCTGATTTGGTTTGTTCCAGTGGCTCTTTTTGCAGTTAAAAATTTTTGGAAGTGACCCATTTGGAAAAAAATTCAGGTGGTTGGCCAGCACCACCTGGCTTTTAATGGTAAATATATTCCTGTTAGAAGGCAACAGTCGAACTCATTATCTCAATATGCCAAAACAATCAGAACCACTCCGCTAACCATTTAGTTTCTAGAAATGAACCTATGACATAAGTTAGGAAAAGAAACTAACAAATAACGATTTGTACGAACGAAAAACGCGATTAATTTCAATCGTAATTTTCTTTTCTAACAATTTCCTTTCCAATTCTCAGCATAATTCTTCGATAGAACATAAAAATATTTATATTTCACTGGAAGACTAGATTCGAACCTCGACGGGCATAAACTCGTCATTAAAAGTGAAATTCGAGAAAATAGTTAAAGGACCACCTGGGGAGATTTCTATGTCCAGGAGACTCTCTGGCGAAAGAGTCTCATTCGAATAGTCAGTGAAGCCAGCCAAGCTAGAAATGGTGAATTCTAATGGAAGAAAGAAAAAATAGTGAATAAAAATCTAAATAAATCTTGTATTTGGAATATCTGAAATTTTCGCAGTCTTGCACTAATAATGAAACGCTAGTAAACTGATAGATTTAGAAATACAAATGCAAACGAATTCACAAAACACACTCGAGGAACTAACTTAAATTACACGCTTTCAGGGCAAAATGATTTCAAGTAGCTCTGCTTTCTTGCATTCAAGGAAAAACGTTAATGGACAGTACTCGCACTAATTTCTGGTCAGACTCACTCCACCGGCTGTTAGTAAGATGAGGAAGTTAAGTCAGAAAATCATATGCGGATAGAAATATCTTGATGGATGGATCTTCAACGCCAACTGGACCTAATATTTGCTGAAAGATTTTCGGAGATAACCTGTGATCCTATGGCCTGCAGAATCCACATATTTAAGAAGAAATCCGCGCAGAAAAAAAAAAACCCTCTTGCTTTGCAAATTTACTGAAAAAAAAAGTGCAAAACAGCAGAAAACTATTTTATCATTCTCAGTTTTTTACAAAGGCAGTGATATATTACATTATATATTACATTATAATCACCATTTGCAAATATATATATATATATATATAAATGAAATTAATTGGTGCAAGATATCAGAAAATTTTCCAACTTATCAATAAGTTTTTTTAAAAGTGATTAAAAAGTGATAAAAGCAATTAAAAGAAAATATTCTTGATTAGTGGTTAATGATTTTAAGTGTTGGCTATCGAGACTTTAGGAAAATCCTTTCATATGGTTTTCACGGCCAAAGCCATTTTCATAATAACATAGTAACACACAGTAAGGAGACGACATTTTCTCAAACTGTCAACAAAAAATTATATTAATTTTTAATGCGATAAATACTGAAAGGATAATTCACAGTGACGTTGAATAATTTTCAGAACTCTTTAAGAAATCCTTAAAAAATGAGCACTGATTTAGACTGCCAGTTCACTAATGCCACTTGGCTGTGTTATTGTTACGAGAGCAATATTATATATGAAACTTTTTTCGAGTCTTAAAATTTAGTTTAACTGTGAACGAAAATTTTATGTTAATAATTAATTCAATATTTCGTTGGTTCTTGTTTCGTTAATATAAAATGCAAACAAAATTTAGGAAATGGGAAGTGGGAAAGTACATTATCGAATGAATGAATTGAAAGCTGAGCTGAGTGTTCAATTACATCTCTTCAAGGCTGGATCGAATTCATATAACCTTGGAATACTGAACGATAACTTGCCGCCTCATAATTTTTTTTCGCTCATATTAATTTTTGGATTATTTCAAAATTTTCCCAGTTGAATGAAATTTACCTGCTAATTCTCTTTTCTTTGGTGCACCTGTAGGAATTAAAAT